TACTTGCCATAGTACCGGCTATAGCCGCAGGTAAGCGTGTCAGTCTATTCGTAAGTGACCGTGATTTTATTTTTTGTAATATACAGAGTAATATCTAACATGTTAGAATTATTTAAAAGTTAAAGAAACATTACACGAGTGGTCAAACTCTAATTACATGCTTGTTATAATTGCGCAAAGATATTCTACGGGCTATCTGTGCTTTTCCAACCGCAGGTATCGAAACCCGATTTCTGTCGTTATAAGTCCATGACTTACCGCTGATCCACCGGAGGACAAACATTAATGATTAAGAAAACAAGTAATTTTCAGCGGTTAATAACCGTAGAAGTATTACTGTTACGTTGTACGCTTGTTTGTTTGCTTGCTCTGAAGCGCAAAGTGACACAGTAGAGGGCTATCTGTGCTGTGTCCACCGCGCGTATCGAACCCCGTTTTGTAGCGTTTACCGCTGAGCAAACCGGGAAGGGGGGGTTTATCATTCAGACAGTACAAGTTAATGAAACACCAATCCCTAAAAAAACAAACACTAGATAAGAGAAGTGTAATAGGCCAATATCGGTTATCAACAATTCAAATAAACAGAGAATAGAAACTGAAGAACGGTATGGTCTTACCAGTATTAAAACAGCGTTAAAACAACGCGCGCGAGCCTATTGAAGCTATGGAGCAATTAAAAAAAAAGTTTTTCAGTTTCACAATTACTTGTGTAAGGGCCGGTGATTGCTATAAAGAAGATGTAAAAGAAAATACAAATGAACATCTCATAATATTTCCCATGATGCCTCAAATGAACACTACTTTCTTGAGCGTAATACCCATTAAATAGGAGGCAAAATCCCTGCACTGGACATCAAGGTAGTTCAGAGAACTTAAGAGTGAAAGCAAAAATGAATACGATATACGTCAACCACACAGCGTTTGCTATATTCATTGCCAACGAAGCCTTTCGCCTAATACAAGGGCTTATCAGGCAGTGTAAAATTTTGAATCGTTAATTACCTATAAGGTACAGATACAAGTCTGTCCTTAAACGAAAGAGGCGTACGCACGTAGTCACTATTAAAAATATTTTGTTCGCCAGCAATGATGTTATTGGTTGTTTTGTAAAAGACTAGGGCAACATTGCAAGACGGTAAACAAGTCGTCCGGACGTTATACCAGACTTCTGTCTATGTTTACAGAAAGTGGAAGCAAAATAAGATGACACTCAGCTTTGCGTTAAACCATTGATAATGTAACTACAATACATTTATGCAGCTCGACATAGTGGAAAGGCTCTTCAAAAGTACTTGTTGATAAACCTAACGACAGAGATAAAATAACGTCTATTTTTCTTTTCATCTTTGGCGAGAATAAAAGTATTACGTAAGCGATTACCTATGTAACATCGACGTTAACTTTATTATAGATTGTTTTTTGAACTGAGGGTTTTTGTTTCTAAAGTGAAGTTTTATTGAACAATACTTCAAATTGTTTGTTGTAAAGCACAAAGCTACACGATGGGTTGTATATGCTCTGCCCCCCGCGGGTAACGAAACCCAATTTTTTAGCGTTATACACTCCAAGACTTGGCTTTTGTTTGTTTGTTTGTAATTAAGCACAAAGCTACACAATGGGCTATCTGTGCTCTGCTCACCACGGGTATCGAAACCCGGATTATAGCGTTGTAAGTCCGCAGACATACCGCTGTGCCACTGGGGGAGGGGGGGCAAGACTTGGCTGGGAAAGTAAATATATTGTGGCTAACGTTTTCTTTAGTATCGTATATTTTGTAGTCACGTGACGATTGAAATGTGTTGTTATTTAGTGGAATTATCCGAATTCTTGGTTATATATATTTTTACGTCTCCGTTTGTTAATTGATTTCCCGTAAATTCGTTCCGACGAAACTTTAGCGACACAAGTCCTTACTTAATAAAACTGGTTTATTCTTTCCGAATATAACTTTACGATACGCTCAACTTAAACAGTCGCGCTATAACAAACACTATAACGAACGAACGTTAACTTCAACAATACGTCTCTCTCTGACCGCAGTTCAATTACTCATTACCTACATACACATTATTGTCACCCTCTTATATATACCAGACTACCCTATATCTAGTAATCTCCCGACAATTCCCGAAGGTTCGAGAGAACGAGTCACGTGACCTCGGTGACGCAACAATATAAACTTTGCTGATTTAATAAAAGCAAATGTTGTGTTAATGAGTACAATTAAGATTTAATTTCGTAAGATCTTTTAATTACCAAAAAGGAGGAATATTTTTAGTCAAAATCCAAATATATATATAAAAAATACATGTAATGCAACGTTGAGATTAAATTAAAATTAATGAAATTATTTTTATACGTTGTTTAGACCCCCACTCCCCCCCCTCACGTCTTCAAACAAGAAAACTTGGAGTGTGCCATCGTGCGAGTAGTTGTGATTGAATATCGATCGTCATATATGAAGACGTGCACAGGATTTCGTTTCGTTAAAGTCAGTTTTTGTTTTATTGTTATTTCTGAAATTTGGTAAGAATTTTCTTCACGTAATACCCAGCATGCAACTGAATGAAACACTGTAAAGGTAAAATCAACTTACGCAAGCTCCTTCTTGTTTGTATGTTTGGAATTGAGCACAAAGCTACACGATGGGCTATCTATGTTCTGCCCCCCCCCCTCACGGGTATCGAAACCCGGTTTCTAGCGTTGTAAGTCCGCAGACATACCGCTGTGCCAGTGGGGGGGGGCGAGCTCCCTCTTATTGTTACCTGCTTTTCCGGGTTTTTAGTTAACTGCTATTATAGTTTCTTTACTTTCTATTCTCGTTAGTTTAATTTCTAGTTTCGTGTTTCCAACATTTAATACAATTATAAGTTTGTGTGTTCTTCTTAATTCATACACTGTTGTTATAGCAACTAACAAAAAAAAAATTAAAGCTGTACTTTTCTTTTGCAAAATTAATATTTCTAACGTACTAAAGAGGCCGTGAGTGGCTTAAGAGTTAGGGTGTCAGGCCATTGATCACAAGACTAAGGCTCGAGCTCCGACATGCCGCTAAATACACACACACACACTTATACTTCAGCTATGGCGACGTTTTAACTGTAAGAGTCAATACCACGAGCTGGCTAAGGCTAGCCGATCAAGCGGCAGATAATGCTGACTGGTTGTTTCCCTCTGGTTAGTAATAGATTAGGGATTATACTTTAATTTTAGAGACGTCTGATTAGGCCAATGTGTCGCATACAGGGACATTCAGGATAAAATTTTCAACATCTATCATTCTAAACAAACTTAGATATAACATGCGTAGTAACCAAACATGGAGTAAAATATCAAACGATTGGATGTTTTTTCATCAAGCTAGATGGCGCTAGCCAAGAAAACGTTCTACAATTTTGCTAGGTTTGTTTGTTTGTTTGAAGTTAAGCACAAAACTACACAAAGGGCTATCTGCGCTCTGCCCACCACGGGTATCGAAACCAGGTTTCTAGCGTTGTAAGTCCGCAGACATACCGCTGTACCACTGGGGGGCAATTTTGCTAGGAGACGGCTTGAATGGGTAGTAAAGAAAAACTTTAATATAAGTTTAACATAACAGCAAATGTATGTTTATGACGATAAAACCTTGTCGACACGTTGTACACTTGCTGTTATGTTAAATTTACATTAACGTTTTTCTTTATTACCCATTCAAGCCGTCTCCTAGCATTATTATTGCCCCCCAGTGGTACAGCGGTATGTCTGCGGACTTACAACGCTAGAAACCGGGTTTCGATACCCGTAGTGGACAGAGCACAGATAGCCCATTGTGTAGCTTTGTGTTTAACTTCAAAGAAACAAACCTAGCATTATTAGTCTCAAAGTGGGTTCCTCGTCATCGAATTTAAACAATATTCAATTTTATTGAGTTAGCACGCCACCTACAGAGTGCTGTAATATATCACAAACCTCTCCATCTTCAAAACAGGAATTCGGAGAAAATTGAAAAAATATGAACAGATCTCTTTTTATAGTTTGTTAATA